ATATATATGCATAATTCTATATCTAGTAGAGTGAAAATATATTAATTTGAAAGCTATATTTTATAGAATTACATCTGATTTGCTTTTCTAAAGTTATATATAATTTATTTTGTGAGATCATTGAGCCTACACATAAGTATCAGTTTATATGATATACTAGATTAAAGATCAAATGAAATATAAAATTAGTGTTCCTATTCTTTCACCTCAAGTCAGTGGTAGTTAAAAAGATTGTTAGTGAAGGGCTGAGGCCAAGTTAGAAGTAAAGCAGAGGTGCTGGCGTATCTCTGGGGGAACGCCATGTTCAGATAAACAGAGAAAGTTTGGCATAAACTTTACTTAGAAATCAGAGCATCATGAACACTCTAATCTCCTTCCTCTCCTCCACCCTTTGCAGTGCCAATACTGCCTCAGCTTTTAAGCCCTCAAGATTCTGGAAAATTACTCCTACCTTTCTCTCCTTTTCCAGCACCACTTAAGGAGCCAAAGCCACAAGCTGTGAAAAACCGTGCAGAATGCAAACATCTGTGTTTCTTTCACTCGCTTGATCTCAAAACTTGAGCTGTCTGGTTTGGACTGGCTACTGTTTCTGTGTCTATACATCACTAATGCATCAGTGGACCCTTTCCCATTGATCCCGAAGATAAATTCAGAATCTTTCTGAAAGGTGTGTTTCATGGCCCGGAATGTGGTCTGTCTTTTTGAATCCTCCAATCTTGGAGAGAATGTGTACTATGTACAACATTGCTGTTGTACATGCTGTTGTTAGAGGAGGTATTGTGTAAGTATCAGTTAGATCCTATTAGTTGTAATCAACTGTCTCCTTACTAGTTTTCTGCCTGCTCTGTCAATTACAGAGAAAGGAGTGTTGAAGAGTCCAAATGTAACACTGGATTTTTCTATTTCGCCCTGCAATCCTATACATTTTTCCTGCACACATTTTTTACATTTTATTGTTAGGTGTATACACATTAAGGAGTTTTATGTCTTCTTGGGCAATTGTTCCCTTTAAAGGAAAAAGCTGTCCTTTGAGGACTAAGGTTTGGCCCAAGCCATAATATTTTTAATAGCCTCATATGCATGCAAAAGCTGGACAGTGAATGAAGAAGACCTAAGAAGAATTTGAATTATTATGTTGGCAAAGATTATTAAATATGGTGGACTGCCAGAAGAACAAACAAATCTGTCTTGGAAGAAGTGCAGAAGGAATGACTTTTTGGAGCAAAGATGATGAGACTTCATCTCATAAACTTTGGGCCTGTTATCAGGAGGGCCAGTCCCTGGAGAAGGACATCAAGCTTGGAAAAGTAGAAGCCAGTCAAAGAAGAACTGACAGAGTGGCTGCAACAGTGGGCTCAAGCATAGTAATGCTTGTGAGGGTGGCCCACAACTGGGCAGCATTCCGTTCTGTTGTGCATAGGGTCACTGTGAAGTAGAACTGAATTAACAGCACCTCAACACTCTTGGCACCAGCAGTCAGGAAATCAAAAGATGAATTGCACTGGGAGAATCTGCCGACAGGGACCTCTCTAGAGTACTGAAGAGCAATGGTGTCAGTCTAGAGACTAAGGTGTGCCTGATCCAAGCCATGGTCTTAGCAATTACACATCAGAAAGCTGAACAATGACTAAGGATGATAGAAGAAGAATTGATGCCTTTGAGTTGTAGTGCTGGAGAAGAGTATGGAACATATCATGGACTGCCAAGGGGACAAACAGATCCGTCCTTGAGAGGGGAA